GTTGGAGTGCATATGTGCTATATTGTGTATAACAAGAACAAGGCAGGCCTATGTGTTAGGACAAGTTTGACGAATGTCAGAGAGAAGCACTGGGTTTCACATAGGGTAGTGTCTGCGACCTTGACAAGAGCAGCTTCAGTGGATTCCTGGGGTGGATGCAGTGGTTCCAACAGATAATGGAAAAAGAGAGCTGGAAGAGGGCAAGGATAAACAATGGCTTCAAGGTATTTTGCTGTAAAGGAAAAAAGAGAAATGAGGCAGTAAAAGAAAGAGATAAGGAGATAAGAAAGGACAGAAGAATTAAGAGTATGGATATATGTTGGTGGTGATAAGAGTTGAGAGATAAATTTTGATGATCAAAGGAAAAAGAATTCTCAAGACAGATGTTTCATGTGGTAGGAAGGGTTGGGATCCAGTGAGTAAATGGAGAAAGTGCCTTAGAAGGTGAATGGTTGATTCACCATCAAGACAGGAGAAAAACTAGGGTATGTGATCATGCATGAAGACAGGAGGTCAATGTGCCAAAAAAAAAAAGACAACATGTAATAGAATTCACCAGAGATTTTTTGAGACCTGTGTCCTTACTTCTTTGGCTATGCTGAGTTTCTGTTTTCTCTATCTGTAAAATTGAACAGAACAGTATCTATCTTAAGAGATTACTGTTTAGATGAAAAGGTATTGTCTATTTTAGGGCTTAGAAATGTGACTATAGTATAATAGATTGACCAAAATATTAAATATTGCTTATGCTGCTATTATTATTATTAGTAGTAGTAGTAATTGTATGAAGCCCAAATGATATTACTTTATTTCTTGGATTTAATTTTATGCAGCCCCATTGGCATCAAATAAAATGCAATCCTTGGGAGAAAGAGCAAGTTGTCAACAGTAATATGGTTTATATCACATAGTTTCTCTAACACAATTTTGGCACATTAATTCTAAAGGGGCTCTAAATTGAATCCATTCTGATTGTGTTAAAGTCTTTTAAAGCAGTGCTGTGTTGTATTTAGCCAAATGCTTATCTGATGATAAACAAACAGGGAGCATTTAGAAATGCAATATTTGGTACATTTTTTTGATTAACAAGCAGAAGGAATGGGTGCAATCAATCCTTGGAATCCCTGGGCAAAATGTATTTATTTCCTCTGAAAGTAAAGACATGGGATAGAATAGAAGATAGGAGATTGAGAACCAACAAACAGTATTTTGGAAGGACATTACCTTTTCTCTGAAAAGGAAAACAATTTACTGAGCATTTATAATATTTTATGTATTCTGCAAATTGCTTTATATGTGTTATCTCATTTACCATCCAGAACATCTCTGAAGTGACTTCTATTATTGCCCAATTGTAGATGAGAAAATGTAAGCAGAGGTGTAGGCATTTGGCCTTGATATTAAGTTGTTGGTTGGGGCACCTGCATCACATTTTGAAGTGTCTGTGTTTGTCTTGGCTCTGCTTCTAATTGCAGCTTTCTGCTAATATGCACCCTGGGAAACAACAGATGATGCTTCAAGTGGTTGGATCCCCTGTCACTCATGTGGGAGACTTTGAGTTCTTGGTGCCCAGCTTCAGCCTGGCCTGGTTCTAGCCACTGTGGGAGTGAATGATTGGATGGGAGCTCTTTCTGTCAGTCTTATAGTCAGTCTCTATAGCTCTGTCACCAAGAAGGAAGGGAGGGAGGGAGGGAGGAGGGAAGGAGGGAAGGAAGGAGGGAGGGAGGGAAGGAAGGAGGGAGGGAAGGAAGGAAGGAGGGAGGGAAGGAAGGAGGGAGGGAGGGAAGGAAGGAGGGAGGGAGGGAAGGAAGGAAGGAGGGAGGGAGGAAGGAAGGAGGGAGGGAGGGACGGGAAGGAAGGAGGGAGGGAAGGAGGGAGGGAGGGAGGGAAGGAAGGGAAGGAGGGAGGGAGGGAAGGAAGGAAGGAGTGAGGGAAGGGAGGGAAGGAAGGAAGGAAGGAAGGGAAGGAGGGAGGGAGGAAGAGAAGGGAGAGAAGGAAGGAGGGGGGAGGGAAGGAGGGAAGGGAAGGAGGGAGGGAGGGAAGAAGTAAGTGAGGGAAGAGTAGAGAAAAGACAAGGAAAAAAAGAGAAGTAATGTAATTTGTATAAGGCCAGAGATACAAATGGCAGAAATTAGACTTAATCTTAGCCTGAATTGAAAGCCTATGTATATTAAACACATGGAAATGCTATCTAGTTGATTTTATTAAATTTAAACAGATCACCATTATTTTTCCACATTTAAATGTGCAATGCTAGGAGTCAGAAAATAATTACTTCTTTTCAAAGAGTTGTATCTTTTGTTACCATGTCAATGCTAAAAGGTGATTATTCATTTTAAAACTGAACTCTGTGGTTTATTTACTTTTTTATTTTTGGAACAAAACTGTTGAAAGATTGTCAATGCAATGCTGAATAAATTATGTTATCTTCATACAGCAAACTTTTCTTAGGTAAATAAAATGAATGAGTTCTAATGAGTTTCCTGAGAAGGATGGTCATGGTACACTGTTATGTGCAAAGGAGTATGATCCTGTTTAGCATGTTATTGTGCATGAGAGCATGGAAAAGTATCATCCATACTCTATACAGTGACACAATTGTAGACAAGTGGTCATCTTTATACATTTTTTCCAAATTACTTTACTCTAAATGTAATCCTTCTATATATCTGATTAGTTTTCTCAGATGCTCTTGTTTCAGATCTTAATTTTTTTAAAACTTCCTTCAACCACAACTTCACATTTTAATTTGCTTCACAAATTAAGCTTTCGATTAAGATTTCCATCAAATGAAAGATTCTCCAGAAAAAATACATTTATAAAGACCTGGTTCATTTCATTTGATTCAATAACATACTTGTTAGTCCATTAGTAAAACCAGGTATTGAATATGAGACATTCTTGACATGTGCATGCACATTCATGAGAGTATGTGCATTATTAATGTAAGTATTTCATATTAATGAGAAATTTCAGATTGTCTTTATTATAGAACAATACACAGAATTGGGAGATTAAATATGAACTAATATTGGCTTACTTAACTAGCATGAATATTTAATTGATGGCATATAAAGAAAAAAATAGTAATTTGCAGCCCACAGCTTTGGTAATGAAATCACCAGATTACTTTGGGTGTATTCACTTGGTGCTAAGGAATCTTGAAAGGAAAATTCTAAGCAATGGGTGAAAACCTTATCCCACAGTTTAAAAGAGCTCTCATGTAGCTGAAAAAACAACAGAACAAGAAAGTAGATGTCTTAACCAAAACTGAACTATCATTTAGTTAGGAAGAATCTACAAATAAGTTCATAATTTTCCCCTCCTGTCTATTTTACAATAACAAGGAGACAGCTTAGCTCAGCTCTTCTGTTAAAACTGTAACACCAATCCCACAAAGGTGTGGCAGAATCATTATTATTTTTACTCCAGCTGCAAGGTTACACTAATCAATTGAAAGCAATCCACAGTTCCAAGTCTGGGTTGAATATATAACAACTCTGTGGTTAGCATCATTTGTAGTAAATTAAATTCGATTCAGCAAACACTTCTTGGGTACTCGCCAGAATTCAGTATACTCTCAAGGTTTCACAAAGTCCTGAAAATGCGTTGGACACAAATTCTGCTCTCTAGGAACTTAGAATTTAGTGGGGAAGATACATCCAGAATTAACTCTGATATAAAGCACAGTATGATAAGAACTCTATGTAATACCAGTAAGAACATAAAACAGAGGGAGTACAGGAGAGACACTGCTTACATTTAATTATTGTGTGGACAGTGAGAAGGCTTCAGATGAAATTTGAATGTCATACAGGGATTTGGTCATTACTGATAGAACTTGGGGTTAGGGCATGGTACCATGTAGAGCCAGGAATTGCAGACAAAGTAGTATGTGTGGGTAGACATTGAGAGTAGGAACATCCTCATGTTACAGAGGAGTTAAGAAGAGGTGAGGAAGAAAAGGGATAATATGGAGGGACGGAATGATGTCTTCAGCAAACATCATTAAATGCATGTTTTAATTCACCCAAATGTCCACTCAAGAGTAAGAAAGAGAAAGATATCAGTTCTAGGGGCACCCCTCCTCTCAGGACTCTAAGAACTAGCTACCTTACTTTAGTGTAATTTAAATAAGAAAGGATTTCTTAAGATCTGCAATTTGAAACAGACATTTTATTACTTGGATGTTGTGGTCAGTTTCTTGGGAAAGAGTGGTCCCTGAATTTTGTAGTGAAATCAGTGAAAGTGGAGATGGCTTAAGCTACCTGTTTAGGGAGATTGGGAGCCAGTATAAAACTATCCTTATTCTGAGACAGAGGCGATACCAGGGAAGGGCCTGAGAAAGGGAGATGCCCAGAGGCACAGTAGGGTGATCTACATCAATCAATGCCAACTGAAGAATGTTAATATTTGCACTTAATCTTGCATTGTCATGAATTTACTTCTCCCAATGGAAGACAGACATATTATTTAATATATTTTGTTGAATGGATATAAGCATTCAAATACATCTGTTCTCTTCAGAGGAAACTCTGCCTCATAGTTCATTGGCAGAATGAAAACAACTCAAAATTCCAAGTGTTCAACATCTTTTTCCAGTAACCCATCTACTGGTTCAGCCTGTGAGCTCCTCCTCTAAGTATGGAGGATGCAAACCCACAGATTCCTTATATGAGAAGCATCACCTTTCAACACAGAATGTTATGAGACTGTGTTTCCAAAACTAACATTCTGGAAGAGGGGTTTAGTGCAGTGGTAAAGACGCTGCCTGGAGTATGATATCCCAAATCAGAGTGCTTAGGTTTGAGTTCTGGCACTGCTCCTTATTCCAGCTTCCTGCTAATATGCACCCCAAGTGGCAGCAGTGATGGCTCAAGGGCCAGACACATGGGATATCCAGAATGGGTTCCTGGCTCCTGGCTTTTGACTGGCTGTTGCAGGAGATCTCTGTCTGTCTCTGGCTTTCTAAATGAATGTACACTAAAAAACCACCCTACCATCCTAACGCCATTTTCAAAGGCTTGCCGGGTGAGGGGAGCTGGTCCGTCCACAGTCTTGCCGTCATCATCGGGGCCCCAGCTGGCGCTGTAAATGTGCACATGCTGAGGATTGTAGCTGACCGACTTGGCTTCCACCATGTCTGTGACATCTCCATCCAACATTCGCACTCCTTCAAAACAGAGGGGAGAGAGAGTGCCTTAGAGAGGCTTTGCTTCATGACACCCAATACCCCAGATACAAGATTTGGAGGAGAAAGAATATGTTTCTAATCAGCACTGAGGCTAACATATTTCCCCAATAAAAGGACAATGGATACTATGTAGAAGATAATTTGGGAGGAAAGGCAATTTCCATGTGCATAAATGGATTTGTGGAGCAGGGAGTTGGAAAAGGAGCTTGCTCTGTCCACTCCATTCATTGACCTGGTATTGCAGTACCTCTGGGAATGGTGCACTCCCTTGGAGGAAAAAAAAAAGAACAAACTAAAAAAGTATATATCTTTTTGATCCACTGTTTCCTTTTCCAACTTTACGATCCCTAAAATGGCTGCCAAAATCCCTCTCTCTCTCCTCACCTCTCCTGAGTACTTGACAAAAAGCCTTCTGAACAATCTCTCATCCCTAAATTTGTCTTCATTAAATAATTGTGTTCAAAATTGGTATAAAACAGCCTAAACCTTTGTAGTCTCATATAACATGGAAAACTGCCAACTTAGGTTGGTCTTATTTCCTCTATATTTAATATTATCCCCTAGTCTGTAAAATTGATGTGAAGTTAATATATTTCTTTTTGTCAAGTTCTTTAGAGGTCAAATAATAAGAATGCTCTTTGTGCACTTGAACATTTCAGATTCTCTAAGGGTTTTAGAACTGTTTAGTCATTAATCTTCATTTAAGCATATTCCTATCCGACAAACAGGAATTTATTATTAACCCTATTTTACAATAATAGACATCAAGACTCATAAACATATATATGCAAAATGCTGAGGTTACCTTTTTTCTTTTTGTTTTGGAGATTCCCAATAACAAAACACCTAATTTTAAGTAAGTATGCATCTCCTCAGCATAAACTAAATATCATCAGTGAGACTTTGTATTATTTTAAAATTATCTTTACAGACCAAAGTCATTGCTTTGAGAAACCTTATTAGTAGCAGAATTTCAAGATTTTACTGCTTAAATAAATGGACATGAAATAAGTAAAATCCTCAAATCAAACAACTTTAGAGACTATGTGAATTGAAGTAGGAATATTGGTAGATAAGAAAAACATTCTTGAAGGAGACAGATCTTACTTGTATTTTTAAGAGTGTTTAATTTTTAACTATACAACTTTCCAAGAAAAACAGAAAGAAAGAACAACGAACACATTATATGGCCAGGATGAAACAGTTATCAACATTTTGCTCCATTTTCTTCATCTGAGAATATGCTAGGTTGAGCTATTTTAAATACCATGACTGACATGGCACCTCATCTTAAGATTGTCTACAAAAATATGGAAATAAGTACCTATTTTCATCCAACACTTCTACACCAAATTTAGGTACTTCTAATGACATTGCATTTGGTTGTTACATCTCTTTACTTTCTTTTCTTCTCAATTTTTTGAATTTTAAAGGAGATGTATGTTACGTTGACAAGTAATGTGGGGAATGAAGATTGTGAACAAATCCTTTTAGAAATATTATGGAATGGAAATTGTATTTAAAAAGTTTGTCAGTGGTTTGTTTTGTGGGAGTAGAACACTCATTTACTGAGTCCTGAGGAGTCACTGATTTGTTTTAGATGAATAAGAATGTTCAAAATTTATCCGTGCATGTTTTTGGCAAAGGATGAGTGCCTTCATCTTCTGATTTTGTATTTAAAAGCATAAAACGAAACTATTTACTCTTTAAACCCAAACTACCCAGAATAATTTCACTCATGCATTTAAATGTAAGCATGAGAGTACAGACATAACACCCGAATTCAGTTTCTTTGTTGTGCAATTTATGCAAAATTCATGGGAAAATAAAGCTTAGTAAATCATAAATAGAGAGTAATAATTTGCTGGTGGAAAATTCACAAAGAGGAATTTCATTTCATCAAGTTTTAAAGATAAAAAGCTGCTCTGTTTCCTAATTTAATTCTAAGGCTTCAGGCCTTAGAATTCAGAGTGTTCTTGTTTTGCAACAATTTTGGTCATAGCCATATGTTTACCTTCTTCACTAAGGTATTGTTAAGTGAAGGCAGTAGTTTATTCGAGAGTTCACAAGTGCATCCTTTTATTTCTTCAAGGTCAGCAAGAGTGCCGGGTTTGTGTTGGACAGTTATGATGGTGATCTTCGGTGTGTCTGTGTGTTACAGACTGCGCCCTGAACTGTGCAAAAGCTTGGCTGGGCAGCCATGGATCCGGCTTTCTCTGGAAACGAGGGGCCTCCGGCATCCTTGTCATTCACCAGGAAAGCTTTTGTCTCCTTTCCTTGGTTCTTCCCTGGCCTTCCCCTTGACATGCAACAGATGCTCTCTGAGTACAGCTGATTGCTGTCTAAGACACTGCATACTCTAAGAATCCAGGGTGACACAAAGGGAAGAAGGAGGCCAAATTTACTATGGACTGATAGTCAAGGTAGTTTCAGAAAACTTGTTCTTAGCATCGTTGGTGTGTTACGCTATAGCGCATTTATAGCAATCCCTCCTTTATCTGTGGCTTCAGTCATCACAGTCTTAGTTAACCAGTGGTCACTTGTGGTCCAAAAATATTAAATGGAAAATGTCTGAAATAATTCAGGTTTTAAATGAATAGTATAGCATATTTTTATAATTTGTAATTATAATTTATTTTTGCCATTATCCTCCACTGAATCTCATCTCTATCATAGGCATAGATATGCAGATAGAGTTTGATACTATCCATGGGAACATCCACCAGAGGTCTTGGAACATATCCCTGGGAACAAGGGGTGACTACTGTACCCTAAATATTTCACATTACAGGACCTCTGTGTTTATATCTTTATCCTAGAAAGGACTGTCATTTATTTTTATAAGTTCCAACTCTGTTTACCATTTGGGAAAAACAATGTATTAGAAACAAGGAGGTCAGTCTAGTTCTGGAAGCTTCATTCATCTTATGACGGGCTTTGGGAGGCCCCTAGCCAATACTTCATGCCAGGCATAATGATAAAGTCGGTAGGATCCATAAAACCTAATACAATGTTTTTACCCCATTTTTGTGTGGCTGTGGCACCAGGCTGCTGAATACAGGAAAGATTACAAATGGGAAAGTCAGAGTTTGCTGTTATCAATGCTTGAATTTATGTTTCTTCGGCTGTGTCTTTATGGTAATCATGCATATATCTGAATATGCACCTAGGTGTTTTTGTGCGTGTGTATAGATATAATCTGGAACCAGTCATGGAAATAGTATCATTAAGTTATGTGGCTGCAACAGGAGATTCTACCATTTTAATTCAATGAAAATAAAGTTTTTGTAAGCTTAAGGAAAATGAAATTTCAAAATGCTTCCATGCACAGGGATACCTGGGCTTAATGTTAACATTTTTTTATAGTGCCTTGGAGTGCTAATTTTTATTTATTCTTTTTCTTTTTTAAATTCTATTTGAGGTATTTATTTAAAGTATTTATTTAAGGAATTTCATGTATTTCATTTACACAGATTGAGGAACATAGTGACACTTCCCGCCCTACCCTCCCTCTTGGCCATGCCCCCACCTTTCCTCCTTCCTGAAGTTTACATTTTTAGTTTTTCTCACCCAGGCAGCAACTGTACAGTTTCGATACAGCTGTCAGTGACTCCACTAGTAGAGTTTTCAAAAAGTATGTGTGCAGCATTTTAAGGTACTACCTCAGAAGTCTTTTTATTTAACAACTTATGTTAACCCAGTCGTTTTTCTGTCAGTAATGGTTGAACACTGTTATGGAAAGATTAGCCTATCTTTGGTTCAAAAAAGGGTCCTGAAAACCAGTTAGCAAGAAACAACGGGCATATTTCTACAGTCTGACGTATTAGTTCCGCATACCTCCAATCTTGGCGTTGAAAGCAATTCCGACAGTGCAGTGAGAGTTGTTTGCAGCGGCAGCCACTTCCCCAGCACAGCGGGTCCCGTGCCTGCAGGCAGAACACACACACATTTCTAAAGCAGAACCCTACCTTCTCACAAACTTAATATATCCTTGCCACCACTCAGACTTCAAAGTGGTGAGGAATGGATCCAGCTGTGATTTTTTCTGGAACTTCCTACCCAAGTAGCACTTTGTTTGTGACAAACTTCTAGCACTTAATTACATTGTTTTGGATATTTTCTGGATATGTTTATTTTTGATATCTTACTCTCCCAAAAAGAAAATCTCCATCAAGGCTAAAACCAAATGTTTCTTTGTATTCAAACTTCTGCTGACCAATATGGTAGCCGCTAGCCATATGGGACTATTGGAATAGTTTGACCTCAACTCAATTTTTAACTTTATTTAATTTTAATTAATTAGATTTTAAAATGCACAGTTATTAGAAAACTTAAAAATGTGGGATGCAAAGCAGATTTTTAAAGAATGTACTAAAATACAGGTAAGGTATTTCCAATGAAAATTGATCTAAAATAGTATTGTTCGGTTGGGGTTTGGCCTAGATGTCGACACCGGTTCAAACACCCTCTTTCTTTATCACACTGGCTGGGTATGAGCTCAGGCTTCCGCTGGAGTGCACCTGGGAGGCATGTAAAAGTCCCTGCAACCCTCTTGGGAAAACTGGATTGAGAGATTTGTGGCCATTTAGGGAGTGAATCAGCACATCAAAGATCCCTATTTCTCTTATTCTGTGTCTCTCTGCTTCTCGTATACAAAAATAAATAAGAATAAATAATAAAATAGTATATGTCATAAATATACAGCTTCAAAAATTTGAAAAAAAGAATCTCAATACTTTTATATCGATTACATATTGAAAATTTCATTTAATAAAATATGAGGATATATCAAAAAGTTCATGGAAAACACACTTTCAGTCCACGAACTTTTGAAGTATTTTGTAGTATCAAGATGTTTCACCTGTTTTTTTCATCTTTTTATTTCTTGATATGCCAAATAGAAAATTATTTTTTCCAAAGCATTCCTTGCTATTTCTTTTCCATGATAACTGTTCCTTCATCGGAACTATTTTTTTGCTGAAAGTATTTCTAATATCACCTTGTCAGGAAGGCACAGAAGTTTAAGTATAATCTCTTGGGCAATGGTTGTCTGAATCAAGTAATGGAGAAGAAGTGTGTGAGTCCAGAGAGAACACACAGTCTAGTGACTGATGGTCACAGCTGCAGAAGATGATGTGACAACCATGATGGTGCATCTGTCATTGCCAGTGAAGCCTGGTACTTACCCCTTCCCTCATTTTTAGAGAGGAAAGCATCTAGGAAGACCTGAGATGTGAAGAGATCTGTCTAAAGCAGCACAGTTAGAAAAACTCAGGTCCCCAAATTCCATTCCAGTGCTTTTTATTTTATAGCACAGTTACCCCAGGCCATGCCTGCTTTGAAATAAAACTACTGTTAGGTGTACATGCAGCTTTACATGAAAGAAATATTATCTATTATTTTTTTTTACTTTTTAATATCATACACCTCTTGCTATTTAAGTATTATTGTATGTATCATGTTATGGTTATTAATATATTGCATAATTTTTATAAATGGTAAATAGACATGAGTATACTTCAAAAAGTACAAAATGGAATTAAAAGATAAGTTTATTTTGGTGCCAAAAGCCTATGAAATTCATGTAGTTTCTTCATAATATACATTTTTCATGAACTTTTTGAACACTTCTCATAGGCATGGATTTCATTTTTTTGCGCCAAGATAAAAAACAGCTGTTAATTCCATTTTCCATGAACCTTTTGAAGTTTTCTCATGTAAATGTGGTTTGAGTGCGTGGTGTGTGTATGTGTGTGTGTCTGTCTGTCTCTATGGATACAACATACATCATAATCTCTTAAACAGGCTCTCCGTTCCTAGAAATTTACCCAGTCTTCACTATAATTAACAAGCCAATCTTGAGTATATATATCATTTTACACCTTGGGACAAATTCATAGCAGTAGAATTACTGTATCAAAGAGCGCAGAATACACTGTCAAATTGTTAACAGCACATGAAAGTAATATAACCAAATCTCATAAAAACTGCAAGACTGAAAATATTACTATAAAATCTTTTTATGTACTGCGAAGAGAGAGAGCAAGAGCGAGAGTGAGAGTGAGAGAAAGAGATCCCATAAGCCAAGGTGAATGACCCTATGAAGAAGGGAGAAAATATCTGGATAATCCCTGTGTACACAATGCTCTGTGTAATTTGTTTTTTAGTCTCTTTTATCCTTGTCAATCTGTCATGAAAAATGTTACCTCATTGTTGTTTCTTTCCCACCTCCTGATGATATTTGCTGTTGAACTCTTTTCAAATATTTATTAGCTATTTCTAGTTATTGCTTTGTGAATAACCTTTATATGCCCTTTGCCAAAGTTTCTTACAGCCTTTCCGATATTATTTGTTGCAAATATGTATCCAAATTTGTATCTGGAATATGATCTTACTTAGGACACTTTTTGGATAGTCATACACAGAATTTAATTTTGGTAGATTAATAATTATCATACCCTTCTGGCATTTGGTTCAATTGCTTCAGTCATTGAAAAGTGATCAATTCTTTAAAAGTGAAACTATTTCTTTTGTAAGCCCCATGCTCAACTCTAATTTCTCCCTGAACCTAGAAGTTATTAACCATGATTCTTTATTAGGCCCTTATGCAATATTACTTCACGGTGTAAGTTATTTTCATTCAAATTCTTATTTGTTAATGAGTCCACTGTACTCACAATTTATTTTATCTATTATTAATTAATGTGAAGTGTTACTGGACCACAAGGACCTCTGTTTTAAATTAAGTTCTGGTTTTTTCTTTGGTCCATGTTTCACTTTCATTTTGATAATTGAGTATGTATCAATAGTTTTTTTATATTGATTATTATCTTCTTTACTCTGTGACAAAAGAATATAATTTCAAGGAACCAATTAGAACCTGTGAGATCCATACAATGGCCAAATTCATGATCAGTGTTAGTACATTCTACATGCTTGAAAATGATGGTATTCAGCTGGCGCCGCGGCTCACTAGGCTAATCCTCCGCCTTGCGGCGCCGGCACACCGGGTTCTAGTCCCGGTCGGGGTGCCGGATTCTGTCCCGGTTGCTCCTCTTCCAGGCCAGCTCTCTGCTGTGGCCAGGGAGTACAGTGGAGGATGGCCCAAGTGCTTGGGCCCTGCACCCCATGGGAGACCAGGATAAGTACCTGGCTCCTGCCTTCGGATCAGCGCGATGCGCTGGCCGCAAGCATGCCAGCCACGGCGGCCATTGGAGGGTGAACCAACGGCAAAGGAAGACCTTTCTCTCTGTCTCTCTCTCTCACTGTCCACTCTGCCTGTCAAAAAAAAAAAAAAAAAAAAAAAAAAGATGGTATTCTCCAATTGTTTTTATATGTCCATTAAATCATGCTTGCTTATTACACTGTGGATGTGTTACTGTTATTTACATTTCTTCTAACTTTGTTTTATTGACAGACTTCCATTCTATTAATTTAAAATGGAATTATTGATCATCCTAGTGAACAAATCATTCATGAATATTTAGTAACACTATGGCTCTTGCAGTTAAAAAAAGCTGATTAATATTTAACTTGTAAATTATTTTAATTTTTCTATCTTCAAATGTTCTATGTTATTAGCTATGGCTCATAAGAACATAATTTTCTCAAGTTAGACTATCTGTCTGTAGCGTATGTAGAAAGTACTTCCTATTGCAGTAGTTGTATTTGTTGACACATTCATGTTCATTTCTGTAATTTTTCTCTATTTACCTCTTCCATATGATACAGCTTTAGAAAACTTTAACTCTGATTACCTATGTTTTATACTACATATGAGCTTCTCAAGAATATGTCTTGGATTTTTTAGCCATACTAAAATTTTTTACCATTACTGCTACTATTTTAAATAATGTTTGTTTAAATTCACAAAATACATTATTCTGGTTCTTTCTTTTTGTAGATTGTACATTGTTCTGGGATCATTGATTTCTTTCTCAATAACATTCTAATGCTAATGTCTTTTCAGAGAGTCTTTGTTAGTCAAATTCTTTTTTTGTCCTTAATTTTTTTATGTATTTGAGAGGCATAAAGAAAGAGAATGAAAGCAGAGCATGCTCCTATCTGCTGGTTCAATGTTCAAATGCCAGTGCCTGCAATGGCTGGGGCTGGTCTAGGGTCTAAGCTGGGAGACAGAACACTATGCAGGTCTCCCACAATGGAAGCAAGAACCCAACCAGTTGAGCCATCATTGCTATCTTCCAGAGTCCACAATGGTGGGAAACTAGAGTCAGGACTCAAACCCAGGCACTCTTATTTGGGATGCAGGCATATTATCTACTAGGTTAAAGAAGCACCTGCCTCCTCAAAATTCTTTTGATAGCTTCAGAAAACGACTTTGGTTGTTATTTTCAATAACTTTTGTTATTGAAAAATAATTTCACAGGGAATGGAATTATGGATTATCAGCACTTCAAAGATATTGTCCCATTGTCTTCTAGCTCCCATTTTTTCTGGAGATAAATTGTCCATCTGGGAAATCTACAGTCAACTATAGTTTGAAAATACTACATGAAATATTCTGGAAGTAAACAATTCATAAATTTTCAAGTGCACACTATTCTGAGTAGTGTTATGAAATCTTGGACTGTTTATTCCATCCTGTCAAGGATGTCAATCATCCTTTTGTCCAGCATATTCACTCTACAAACATTACCTGCTACTACCATTCTAGGTTATCAGCTTGATTGTTGCCGTAGTTCAGTGCTTGTTCAAGCAACCCTTTCTTTACTTCATAATGGCCTGAAAGCGCAGAGTAGTGGTGCAGGAAATTCAGATACGCCAAAGAGAGGCTATATAGTGCTTTGTTTAAGCTAAAAGGTAAAATGTATTGAGAGAGAGAGAGAGAGAGAGAGAGAAGAACATATGGAGAAGAGCATATTCACACTACTTTTATTAGTCTATCATTATAATTGCTCTATTTTAT